TAATAAAAGTGAATTAAAGTGATGTTAATATAATGCTTCTGTAATGAGTATAACTTTCTATGCCACTTCCATAGCCAGCAGTTCAATTAGTTTTAATGACTTTGTAGGAAGATGTTTGTTCTTTTAGTATTTTTAAAACTGTGTTATATTATTATGAATTTCAAGCATAAATCCATCCATAAATTCAAACTTTCATTTTTGTTTTTCTTAAGAACTGAGGATAATTATGAAGTTCATACAAGTAGGACATTTGAATTTGAAATATGACTTTGAGAAAGTAATGCTTTTCTACTCATTTCTGATAGTAGAAGAAACCACTGGGAACCTCGGAGAGTTTTTAAAATGCATTTCATGGTACAATTAATGCCCAGCCAAGTCAGAATTTATAACAATGTGTTTTGAATCAAAATAATTCTGGTGCTGAATGTAGCACAGATGTATTTTATATGCAAAAAAGAGCTTCTTTTTCTCTTTATCTGTGAAGTGTACCTGCTTGACACTTCAACTGTGAGAAACTAATTGACGGATTAATGTGATGTGTAAAACCTATATTCATAGATGGGAATTTGTACACATTTCATGTGGAAAATTGAAGTACAATTTTTTTTTCCTGGCTTCATAGTGGTAAGACATTACAGAATTTCGACTTGATAATATACTTAATCTGTGAACAAGTATTCTAAGACGCTTTACATGGTTGCAAATTGATACAGAAATACAATTTTCAAGTCCTATGTTCACACTGAATTACATTAATAATTAATTAGTCTTGCTGCAGCTAGAGTTTCATTCTTTTTGTTAGGTATCAGCCAAAGTTTCTTTTTTCACTCCAGAAAGATGTCATCAGATACTGTGTTTCCATAGAGAACTATCAAGCTTGCAGACAGTGCTTTTTTTTTTTTTACTAATTAGTATCCAGGAAGTACTGGAGAAAAAAACCCAAAGGCTTTGGGTTTTCAAGTTACTTTTAGGCGAACTTCCTTAAGCACATATTTTGATAGATCAAAGTAGCTTTGGTTGCCGAGCAGTGTAAGCTTAAATAAAAAAATAAGATATAACAACTTAAACCTACAGTTTTAAAAGATTGAATGTGAAATACACGAGTGTTTTTCCCTGAAGTTGTTAAACAATTAATCTGTCCTATTAGAAGGAAGCATTTACTGTCCTTTTTTGTGAATCATTCCTTGACCGGAATTTAGTTGAGTCTCCTGCTCAAATCAGTGTTGACACTGAATTCAGACAAAGTTGCTTAGGACAGCCTGCTCCTATAATAAAGCAGTTATTCTCATAGATAAATTCAATCATCCTATGATCTTTATTTGTCAGGCCTTCCTAATCTGTCTTCTTTTCTTGCCTTCTCATCAGTTTCCGGATTGTTCTGTGTTATCCATCTCCATGTTACCATCTTCATAACTCACTGAACATCATTAACTTGTGCCTAATTGCCACCTTCTACTTCACTCTCACTCTGTTGAGAGGGAAGTAGAAGGTGGCAGTTAGGCAATTCTGTTGAGTGCCTGCGTTCTCACGAATCATATTTTCTTCTTCCTGCCTTTTCTGCCACTGCCTCTATGTTTGATAGGTGTTAAGGACTGGAACTCACGGAAGAATGAAGATTTTCTGCTCTTGGCCCAGTCTCTAGTCTCATTTGGGTCAGGACCAATAATTCAAAGAAAACTAGGTGTTGTTCCAATAGCCCCAGACATTCTCAGTTATCCATATGCAGTCTTGGGAAGGGTAGGAGCATGCCTACTGCCAGCAGAACCTTGGGAGATATCATGTGTTAAACTCTGTGGTCAAAAATGAACTGAGGCTTTTGTCAAGTCTCAGAGTTTTCCCATATGTAGTAAGATACCATGAAAATGGAATGCCTGACAAACGATAAATCTATGCCTGACATATGCCAATTTTTTTTTTGTTTCTATTTGTTCATGGTAATGGAAATATTGAAAAAAAAAAAATCCCAACAAACTAGCTGCCTTTCCTCTCTGTTCCAGAAAAAAATTTCTCTTTCCTCACCTTGTTGCTCTGCTTGATGCAGCAGGGTGTCTCACTTGAAGTTATTGGCAAGTTCCTTTTTATGGGAAAATTTTCAGGGTTGTGGACACAATGTTATGTGATCTCTTCTGGTTAGACTTAAAAAGCAAAGCAAAAATTATTTTCAGAGTTTCAGATAGGTCTGGATGTCCAGCTCAAAACAGAAGTGCAGGTCTGACCAATTTATTTTAGATGGTGGAAGGCACATTTCTTTTGATCTTTCAGTTTTTGAAAGACACCTGTATAATAATTTAGGAACAGCACCACAGACCCAAATGTTCCCTGTCATCCTGCAGAATGAACTGAGGAGTTTGTGGAACTGCGTGTGTTTCTCAGTCAGCACTTTTACGTAGATGTATGAGCCCAGATTTACAAAGGGCATATGTCAAATCAGAGAATGATTTAATTTGGAAGGCTCCTGGGAAAGTAATTTGCAGTTCAGTCCCCTTGTCAAAGCAGGGGTAACATTAAAGTTGGATTCTATAACTGATCTAGGCAATCTGTTCCAGTGATAAATCCCTCTTATTCTGGATTTTTTTGCCCCTTTTCTCCAGCTGGAATTTCTCTTGTAGTTCTTTCGGACTCTTGCCTCTTGTTCTTTCTATTGCATCTCTGAGAATGCAGAGTGTGTTGCCAACTTTCCTGTAATCCCACTCCTTTTTCCATAGTGAAAAATGTTGCCATGCAGCATTATAGTCCTAAAGTGAAGTACCTATATCTTGGCAAACAGAATTCATAAATCTGATAAATCTTCATAAATCTTTATATATAGAAAAAAAATCACAAATGGGATTTGTGGTGGTGAGTAGAGAGTCTAGCAAAATTAGCAGGAATAAAGGGATATGTGAAATCCTAGCTTTCATCCAAATGAATGCAGTTGGGTTCAATCCTGAAAGATGCAGTCTGTGTGTTGTGGCCCCAAAAACCACTCTTGAGTGTTAAGGTGTCTGTTACCTCAAGGTCTTACTCTCTCTCTTTAGAATGTAGGTTTGAGACATAACTGAGGCTATAATGCTTCTTAATTGGTCACTACTAATGTACCAATTAACACATTAATAAATTAATCAGCAATCCGCTAGGTATCACAGTTTTATAATGCCTTACACCATTGTTAATTGCATGTAATTATTGAGTTCTAACGCTTTTTTAATATAAATCGCACCATATTATTTTGGAATTACAGTTCTATAACCTTCACTTTAACCTCCCACCTCAGTTAGTAACAGATTTGCAATTCTGTCACCCTTTTAACTTCTCATTTCGAGTGTTTTGGATGTAGACCCCATGGAGAGTCCACTGGGTTTCCCATGGGTCTTCCCTCTGACCCTTTATTAATGAAGCAACTCAGCTTCATTAGAGTCTGTGGACATCTGCATTCCTTTCAAAAGATCTATCCACTTTTGTTTTACTGCCTTTATAAGTTGCTCATTATCTCTTACATTTCTAGACGCTTGTTCTTCCTGCCGTTCTGTGTCCCTTTCTCTACCCATTCTACTTTCATATAAACAAGCTGTCTCTTAATTGCTCTTTCCCCATTGCTCCAATTTGCTACATCCGTTTGCAGATTTCATATTTCTGAAACCCTTTCCTTGGTAATCTTGGCCTTAAATGGTCTTATTGATGTTGTTAGATACTGATGGACTTGTGAGATTCTACCCCTGTCAAATATCAGCAATACTCCCTTTCAGTTACCTGCTTAATGTCCATTACATGTTCTTTATTTTACATGGTTTCTAAGACACATCAATCTACTTTGACCTCTCTTACCTCTATCTGGTTTTGATTAAATGTGCTTTATCTCTATCCCACGTAGCTCTTTCTGGTTCATATGCAAGTGAACATACGTGCTTTTTCTCATTCCATTTTTTGCTCACACGGTATCCTGCTTGTCAGGGAGCAGTGCAGGCCAGCTGGTCCCTAAGGGAAGAGGAGCCAGGTGCTGAGCATAACAGGCTGACAAAGGAAGGGCTCAGTCCCTCCCCAGCAGCACTATCTCAGAGTTGTCCTTGAGTCTAGGTAGGCAAACCTCCCTCCCCTTCCAGGAAGAGGGCTTGCTGTTAGCTCCCTTCCAGTGCTCGTTCTGTCAGATATTCCATCAGAAACCATGAGCCTTGACATCTTCTGGTAATCTCCCCATTTTTCTGTCTTGTTATAGAGTCCAGTACTCTGGCAGAACCTCTTCCTCAAAGGGTCAGTCCTCCCTTAGATTAGGACCAGATGCTTTTCTGTTCTTTGAAAAGATGATTAAACATTAACCCAAATTTAAATGGTGTTTTTTTAGTTATATCTTGCATATATATTTGCACCTTTAGAGGTATTTATTAGTGATCAATTTGGGTAATGTTACAACTTTACAAACTTTTACAAGATTTTGAAAAATGTGTTTTTTTCTGTTTCTTTTAGTATCTCCCGAAGCAATTGGATTCCTGTCTGCAGTTGGGGTGTTCATTATTCTCATGTTGCTACTTTTCCTATATATTAATAAGAAGATGTGTTTTGAAAATGTTAGTGGTTTCCCAGATCTCGATTCAGGATACACTACAAGAAAGAATTCACAAGATAAACTTTGTAAGTATTTGACATACAGTGTACTAAAATTAATTATAAGAATGCACATTTTTACAAGGATGTAACAGCACAACAGTGTTGACTTTTCCTGTGACTGTGCAATACCTGGAAAGGAACAAACTTTTGTGTCCATGAGCCACAGAAGTTCAACAGCTATATAACCGAAGAGTTGGCATTTACTTATGGGAAGATACTTCTCTTGCAGTATGAGAATACTCTTGAACTCATTTTAGACATTCCATAATTGTGTAAAATTAAATATTTTCAAGTAAATTTGTGAATTAATTGGTGGGTTTTCACCAAGCTTATTAAAATCCTTCACGAAACTTTTGGAGGTCTTGCATTTTTCACCTGGAAAGTAATTTTAAAGAAGTAAAACATTAGAAACACCTCTGACTAACAAATTACCGAATACTTTTAATACGACAAAGTCTTTAAGGATCATGCATAACAAAGAAACTTAGACCTTGAAAAAGATATTGAGGGTTGGTAAAACAACCCCTTTCTACTTTTGTGTTGTGGAAATTGAACAGGCTTTTTTAGCTGACTTGAGAGAAAGAGACAGGCATCAGGAAACAGAATGGGAAATTGGAGAGGTCTTCTTCCCCTGTACCTCTTTAAAATATGGAGATAAATTTTTATTTTCAGTTTTCTTGGAGATAAAAAAAGTTCTTCCCCTAAGAAGTCTGTCATATTAACTTGCTTTTTTGCTACAAAACAAATCTTCATGTTCCAAAAGACCTTACCTTATTTAAAAGACAACAGATATTTTGGGGTGAAGAAGTCTCCATGATGTGTGTTGTGTTGTGTTAAAAACTTGTTTCAGTGTGACATTGATGTAAGGATATAATTTAACTCACAACTTCTTCTTTGCAGGTTAGAATAAAAAAAAAAAATTTCCACCTCACACAGTGTTCTGGTTTTTGAAAATAATGAATTTTTTTATGGCTAGTTGGTGCTGCAGTTGATGAAAGACTATGGTTTTGCTGGTTGATTGTGGCCTCGTTTCAAGGTATTTACTTAGCTGTTTTCTTAGTATTTTCAATGCACATTGAATGGAAAGAGGAAAGCTGCGACTTCCCCTGGTAAATATATTGATTTTTGAGATAGCAAAAGTAAATAGCTCTGAAATTGAACTTGGAGAAACAGAGATGATCTGTTTGTGAAACAGAGGACCTTTCATTATTAAAAGTTGTTGCTGAATAGGCTGGACAAATGGCGTTTTTCAAAAACCTTCACCAAAATCTGAGCCTTCCCTCTGTGTCTTCCCTGGTGGACACGCTTAGCAGTGCTGTGGATGATCTGGCCAGTGTTGTTGGAGAGGTCAGCTACACTGTAGCTGATTCAGTAACAGAACAAGTAACCAGCATGATAAATGGCCTTCGTGCAGAAGACGAGAGCTCCAAAATGCAGAATGATAAACCTGTGGAAGGGAGAGAAGAACATACACCACCAGTAACTCATTCTCAGGAAACTAGCATGAAAGTGAAGAGGGGTGTCACAGAACACAAAGAGACTCATAGTTCTAATTCATTAGATTTTGTAAAAAAAGGTACAAGTCAAATTGGAGTATCTGACCATGTCTTGGACAAAAACCAGTGCCAGTTAAAGGGCACAGATAATAATAATCCATCCAGTTATACAGAAGTACCTCAGGTTTTGAAGTCTGTAGGAGGACCTTTTGAAAGGGAAGCCGTAGGGGGAAATGGGTATATTGTAAATGATGAATTCTTGAAGGATAGTCACCTGAAAAGTAATAAATTTACCATGGAGCAATCTATTGAGAAGCAAGATAATTGTCTATATGAACTATTGGATAATTCAAAGAATCGCTTGCATAGAAAAATCAAATCACGTTCACCTGGAGTTGATATTAAGGATTCTGATCAAGTACATAGTATGCATGTTCCCCAAGATTTAGAAACAAAACTTGTTGAAGTACAAAGGCAAAAATTATCAGACTCCAACTTGAAGAAGATGCACAATGACGACCCCAATTGCCTAAATGAAATCAAAGAAAAGAAATTGGAAACCTTTTTTGACAGAAAAGGAAAATTCATCTCAAATGAAGACAGTATGTCAACTACAAGTGCAAATGATGGTAAAAAGAAAAACTCAAAGAAATTAGAGAGAGAGCTATGTAATAAGAAGACAGCAGGAAAAGGTGAGGAGTCTGTTAGCAAACTGCGTTCTTCAACCTTTCCTGAAACTTATGATAATTCCTACTTTTTTCACCTAATTTACACATTTAATAATAGTGTTGCCTGTAGACGAAAGTAGGTTTGTTTTTTTTCAGTGCTTCATTCTCTAATTATGTTGATATTATTTTTTGAACTATTACTTAAAGAAATTGACTAACAAATGGCTTTCCTATGTTCTAACTTTACCTTTTTTCCTATATGTTGTTTCTTACCTTCTCTGCAGTGCCTTGTGTGGTTTCTGTTGAAAACAATTAATTAATTAATTAATTCTGCGAATGTGGTTTTCCTTTTGCTTATTTTAAAAGCATTGCATGAAATGTGCTAAGATAATAAAAGAAATAACTTCTTTTGCATTTACATTACAGTAGATCTTCAGAATATTTCTGGGATATGTAAGATAATAATTCCAAGACACAAGACTCAATGAGAAATGTCTATTAATGATTTGAAGTATAGAAAAAGTGAATGAGGCTTGTCTTATAGTTGTAGTTTTCAAAGAAAACCTGTGTGTTGTTGATATGGATACTGCGTGTGCCGTCTTTAACATCCAGTCTTAAATGATATGATAAGGGGGTTGCAGTTACAGTAAGAAGTAAAACCTTGCATTTTTTCACAGTTGTTTTGCAAGCTGCCCAGGGAAGTTTTAGAAAGCAACATAGGCTTTTCCAGCAGTGCTGTTTCTGCAGAGAAATGCATGATTTCGTAATAGAAACACATTTTTTTTTTCTTCAGTGTGTGTGTTTTCCCTTATCTGAAAATTTCAGTTATCTGCTTTCTTGGGTTTTGGTTTGGTTTTGGTTTTGTTTGGTTGGTTTTTTTAATTTGGTTTAGGAGGTGTTTTCCATGTTTGTATGATAACTATGATCTTATCTATTATTTCTTTATGTAATACTATATTTGTAAACTATATTCTCTCTCAAAAATGGCATTTTAGGTCCCATAATAAGCAAAGTAATAGATTTCAGTAGTGTAGTAAATGCTCATGACCCATGTTAGCCAAATAAAGCAAAATTTTTAGTAAGAACATGAATTCTCTTATGCAGGTTTCCAACTAAGATATAAAAGTCAAATGAGAAGTGGCAAGGAGAGGCATAAAACCTGGAGATTTTTTTTTTTTTTTAATGTACAGGAAGCTATTTTTTCCCAAGAATCTGAAACAAATTTGCATTGTTAACTTAAAAAAGTATTTGCATGGATAGCTTATGTTTTAACTTTAATGAGGTTTTTAAGTCCTGTGAAGAGGTCCTGCGTCATGACTTACAATAATAGTATACCTTCTCAGTCTTTTATGCTAGGAACTGGAGGAAAAAAATAGCTGGTATCCCTGAGAACTTCTGGATGCTTACAAAAGTCAATGTATTATTACATAACTTTCAACTCTTCTTTCAAACATGTTGCTATCATGCTCTATATTATTCCACTCTTTATGCAGGCTGATTAGTGAACCTAATTTCATATTTGTGAATACATTTCTTGCAGTGCTAAAGGATGCATCTAATACTGTTGTCTGACACTATATTTTAGTCCTGGTATGCTCTGCTTTAATTGTAGTTGTAGAAATGTGCAGAAGCTTCCAAGTTGGCAGGTTTCAACCTATTGAGGGCCATATGAGATAGAAAATTTTACTCTATGTTACCAGCAAAAGGAGACGCAGGCATTATTTCTGTTGGAGATTGTGTTGGTGGTTTTTGTTGTTGTTGTTGTTTTGTTTGTTTGTTTGTTTTGTTTTGTTTTTATTCTTCTCCTCAAGTTATAGTTTAAAATCTTTAGCTGTTTCCAAAAATATATTACAGGAAAAACATGCTGGGTATTTGTGCAACAAAGTAAGTAGATTTCACATCAGTTTACTAAGATGTTTTGTCATCTTTGTGTATTGGAATTTGTACTTGAAATGTGGGAGAGCACTTTCCCTGTGTCAGAGAGGCCCATGTTCTTTTATGAAAAAAACACCGAAGTTTGATGAAGTTGTAAATTTTTGGAAAGTTTACTTTTTGAAAAGACATGGTAAGCGCTTCTTATACTTTGCCTGTTAAATTCACTGACCATCCCATTTGCACTCACAATTCTTCATTTTAGGGGTTGAAGAACAGAGCAGGTCTTATCGTGCCTTTCATGTTTGTAGTTACTGAGGGACACTGGAAGTTTGACCAGAAGAACTGAGAATAAATGTGTCCTTTGTGAGGACAGAAACTTGCGGAACCAATGTAATGTGATGCATGCAGTAGGTTGAGATTTGAAGTAGGATGGGTGACAGCAGTGAAGCTGGAAAGCAGGAACTTAGGATATGACTCTACTCATATAAATGTAACTTTCCAAAAGATACATTACCTAAACTTACAGCATAGGTTTTTCTGCGTGAGCGCCAGGGAGAAAAAGACCATGATGGGAAGTGATTTTATTCATCTGCTCTAGAGACTTACCTAAAAGTAGGAAAGATGGACCTCTGTAGTAGTCAAACACTTGACTGTAGAAGAGGCCTACGTGGCTGGCATACGTTGAGTTACTTTAATTTTAAATGACTGAATTTTGGGTAATCTGAATCCTTCCTTTAGTAGGAATACCCAGCCAGGGGAGTGAGACTGACTGGGCATGAAGGCAGAGACTAATGGGAGTGGAAGTGCAGAACTAGAGCTAAGGACAGGGCCTGGGAAAAGGTCTTGAAAGCAGGTAGGGAAGAAGCAGTTGAGTGTGGCTGGATGGCATGTTGGAGAACATTCCCTCACAGAATCAGGAACTGAAAAACAACGTTATGGGTATCTCAAAGTGCTGCCAATAATGGAACTTTGCTGGCAAATCATATGCTGTAGGCTTGCTTACTGAGTAGTGGTCACGCTGGCCTTTACTGAGTTTACATGAAATCTCTTAATGACTTTTGGAGCCTGAGATCTACAGAACCTCTGCAAAGCATGTTAAATTTGGGTGGAATCCGTCTGAAGTTGGGAAGAGGGAGAAGGAAACTTTCCTTTTACAGAAATAAATATGCAACTGAATCTTTGGTTTGTGGGAGGAAGTCATGCTTGAGATGTAGTTGGAAAACGTTAACCACAGGAGTGGGCACTATAGAAGAGCTGGTATAAAAGAAAAGTCTAGAATTGACTAGATAGATTTTTTTTTCCATGTAATTTTTGCTGTTGCCAGATGTCTGCAGTGAGAATATGCATTAATTTCAGTTACTGAACAAGGGGCTGTTTACTGTAAGTTAAATAAAATTGTGCATGCAAACATCTTTCACTAGCATTTCCTTTCCCATTTGTTATTATGCTTTCAAGCACTACTGGCATAAATATCCTAAGACGATTTTTTTGATAGGCTTCTCTTGGCAAATCAGTTTCATTTCTATGCTTTGCTACATGCTCACAGCAAGAATCAGCTGGGAATGTAGGATCAGGAGCTACCTTTTTGATATGTTAGATATCCAAATGCATTTTCCTACTTAATGAAGGATTTCAAGAACGTCAGTGGATGCTGCCTTGAACTGATCAGTTTTCTGTTGAAAAAGTGTTAGAATGGGTATTTGGGGCTTAATGATCTTTCAGGTTTTCTAGAAAATGAAAATAGCTCTCACCAATTACAAAATCACATACTGCTTATAATCACAACAAAATATTTTTAAAATATTACAGAAATTTTAACGAAAATTTCCTAATGAAATATCTTAAATATCTTCAATGATAACCTTTTATGGTTATTTTCTTGTATTCTATTTTGAGCTGTAGTCGATTTGCTTTATTTTATTCAAACAGACAATTCTTATATGAGTAAAGACCAGCATGGTTCATCATCTGAGAGTGAAGATGAAGCACTGGGTAAATATCATGAGGCCTTGTCTAGAACCCAGACTTCCAGGCTGCCAGTGGTGGATGGCAGACAGCAAAAAAACTATATATGGGAAACCAGACAAAAATATAGTCCCCTGTCTGCAGAATATGATGGATACAGTAGTGAAGCCTCAATAGATGAAGGTAAGAGTGATTTAAAAGCCTTCCTTTTACTCCAAATTTCAGAATTATGTTCTGGATAAGTAAGTCCTAGACAAGAGCAGCTTGACCAGCAAATAGTCAAGGTCTGCAAGAAGTATCCAGACATCTTTTATATTTGTGCATGCTCAAAAAAAAAAGTAAATTAAAGCACATTCTTTCAGAAATACTGCAAATGATATAATACCTTGTTATATTAATTTTCATTAAATTTTATTATTATTAATTTTAATTTTTGGGAAAAGTTAAACTGGTTTGATTAAGGAAGGAAGCATGGCAACTCCTGTTGAATCTGTGGTATTATAAATACAAAGAAGACATGTTATTCCTCTCTTGATAAGCTGTTATAACAGCGAAGTAAATGGAATAGGTTATTGACTGTAGTGCATATGATCATTGCAGTGTGCATTACTGGAATGTTCTGGATGTTTTCTTCTCTTGAAAGAAATTACTACAAAGATTAGATTAATGTATTTTTTCCCATGTATCTGAAAGTTGGATGTAAACAATGGATATTCTCTTATGTGCTGTATATTTTTTGATTTTAAGTTAGGGTGACAACTTGACCTAGAGGCTGAGAATTCTGCTGTCAGTATTTTGTCAATATGCCTTTTGTATTTGAAAATAACTGTATGTGAGAATTGTGTCTATAGCCAGTTTCGAGCATGAAAAGTGAGCTTTTGTGGAAGTTAGATGAAAGTCAGATACTAATACAGGTGCCATGTTATATATTTGTTGGTCTCCCTTTAGTACATTAAAATGCAGAACTTTTTCAATATTTGGTGTTTTCTAATGAACATGGATACATGTAATTGAAAGATATCTGTCCTTAAATGTTCTGTGTAGTCCAGAAGTGGTTGAAAAAAGAATACCTTTTCTACTGTGTAATGTAATTAAATTATATAAAAGTCTGTTTGCCATTGAAATTTTTAATTAATGTATGGTCATCCATGATCCCAAGCTAAGACCCAAAGGACATGAAAGCCATAGTTGAATTAAGTTGCAGAGTAAGAGAATTCTCTTTTGATCATCAGAAAATTTAATTCTTTCCTCTGCTGTTAAACTGTAGGAAGGCTGAGTTCCAGCAAATAGTGAAGGAGATGCAGAGGTGAGATCAGGTGGTAAGAACTGTTCCTTGGACACCGTGATGGAGAAGGACAAGGAAGAGGGATAATAAAAGTGTCATGTTTGGGATTTACATCTAGTGAGTGCATCTACATCTCAGCAGTGTTGGTTGGGGAAATATGAAATATAGGATACTAATTTTTTTGTATGGCTTGTGTCACTGTTGGGAAAAAATGATGATACATATTAACAGGAGAGGGAAAAAATATGGTGTTTTTCAGCAAATAGTACAAATTATACAAGAAGACTACTTTCACATATCCAGAATAATGTATTTGTCTCTTTTCAAACCACTGAGGCTGGTTGTTGAAATAGTCATAGTCGTGACAGTTGTCTTTATATTTCATAATTGCTCAGGTTTTATCGACGCTAGTTTGTCTTCTCAGTGAAAAGTCCTCAGTTCATCTGAGCTTTTTACTTTGACCCTGTAACATTTAAGTTTCAAAGGCACTGTGCTAGCCTGTATCCAATTTTTTCTTTTGGTTGTATTTTTTTCTTTTTATAATTGTCTTCCTTCTCATCCTCTTAGGTCATCAGGATTCATAGTCACTAGTTTTTATCCTCTTCTGGGGAATGAAAACTCCAGTCTAGAAATCTATATCATATTTACAATCTAAGACAAAATAACCTTGTGGGCAAGTCCAAGTTTTGCATCAGGAAAGTTACAGTTGTTTCCCCCCTCCTCCTTTTTTGTTATTCTTCTATTGCTAATGAAATCTATCACCAGATGCTGTTCCTTCTCAATGCTCTTTCATTTGGGAAGCAAGCTGGATATAAACCCCATTTATATATATGTAGACACATTCAGGGTTCGGAAAAAAACCACTTTTTAAGAAAAAACTGTCAAAACATTCTAACTTAGAAAATTTACAATTTTTAACCACATACTTCTGCTTGCATAAAATCTTTAATACTGACTGTATTTTGCTTTGGCTTATTTGCTGCTTATGACATCATTCTCTTTCCACATTTTACAAGAAGTGGAGAGTCAGCAATGTTAGTTATTTGACAGCCTGCAGTCATTCTACAGTGTCCGGCAAGATGCTTGCAAATTGAAGTGATGTTTGTCTCCTTTTTGTGATCTATTATAATCTCATCAAAATTATGTTTAATATGATTTAAAAAAAATTTAATATTGGACATGGCAACAGAGTAACAATCTAGTGGTTTTCACTTTTCAGTGACCTAAAGGTGGCACACTAGAATAATTAGTGTTAGTTCTTTTTCACACTCCTCCTAAATTATTTCAAATGTAAAAGAAAGAATCTTTACACAATGATTAAAAAGTTTTAGAATAGAGGAAAAGACAGAGTGTCCCTTGGTATGTTATGATCATTACAGAGGGAAAGCTGCCCAATTTAGAACTTCGATGAAAAGAGAAAACTGCATGAAGAAAGCCTGCAGTCTTAAATAAATGAGGCACTGGCTGTTGCTACCAAACAGTTCATACGTGTTCAGGTAAACAGTCCACTGAACAGATGACATTAAAAATCTCTTATTCCAAGGGGGAGGAATCATCAACATTGTAGATGTTTCAGTGTAACTGAATGTAAAGCTTTACTGTTTTCCTTAAATTTGGAAAATAAATCTGTAGGAGACTTGATGTCATAAGAATCCTGAAATTTTTCATTAAATACTTGGTTTTCACGACTGCTAAATTATTTTTATAGGAAGTGTAAAGACAGATGATAGAACCATTTCTTGATTCTTTTTTAGTGGAGGGTGAGCAAGCCATGTCTTCCTGTCCACTTTATTTCATCTGAGGAAAAATTGTCACTACATTTGACTTCGTGTGCTTCTATTTTCTCATATGCACTTTATCATTTCTACTTCTAAGTCTTTAGCATTTTGGCAGTGTTTCCATCTTATGGCACTGATGAGTCCATATGTTAAACATGACTTGGTAATGTTACAGTGAAATGAGGAGAGGACAGAATTCATTTTTGCCTCATCTCTGTTTTCCTCTTGCTCTTTGCTAGTAAACCAGCCCCTGATCATTAAGATTAAGGACAAGGGGGAATGTTTTTAAACCGAAGGAGAGTAGGTTTACATTAGATATTAGAAAGAAATTCTTCACTGTGAGAATGGTGAGGCACTGGAACAGGTTGTTCAGAGAACTTTTGGATGCCCCATCCCTGGAAGAATTTAAGGGCAGGTTGTATGGAGCTCTGAGTAACCTGGTCTAGTGGAAGATGTCCCTGCCCATGACAGGGGCATTGCAATGAGATGCTCTGTAAGGTTCCCTCTAACCCAACCCATTCCGTGATTCTATGAATTCTATCAGAGGTAGAGTAATATGAGCAATGAAAATGATATTTTATTTTCAGAAAATTGTTTGCTGAATTTTCTGTTCAGCAGTTAATCTCTATCACGTTGTATCTTGAAATAGTGAAGTGAGGTGTGTGTTTCCAGTTTTACTAATAACTGTTTACTCTGAACTTCTGTCTTCACTGTTTAAATTTGTTTAGATGTGTCTGTATTTAACTCTGCACACACAGAATTTAACAATGAGACAAAAATATAATCTTGACTTTGTTAATACACCCTGTTAGATTTACTAAAAGCATGTATAATATTAACATGTTTGCATCACTAAGACCTTCAAAATGTCTGATCATATTTTTTTTAAGGTTCACTTATTATCAATTACATAATTAGTTTATTGTATCAATTTTCTGGCTTCATACCTCTAAAAATGTGATATTCTAAAGCCTGAAAATGTGTGTGGTATGTTTTCATATCATTCTTTTCTCCTCTAGATGGCCATATTAATCTTTCTTTTCAGCGTATTTACATAGAACTCGCATGGCATTTTGTATCATGTTTGTAATAGTTGAATGAAGAAAGCAATATATTCTGCAGGTTTTGGTGGTGTATTTTTGATGATGGAATGTTCTAGTAGCACTTTAGTTAATTCTGTGAAATTTAGGGTTTTAAATTTATTCACAAATACCTGCTTATGACCAGTGTCTGATCTACTTTATATATTTGTATTGCACATTGGATGCATTTAGATTTTAATAACTTACAGTGTGTATTTTAAATGAAAAATAAGTTACTGTTGTCCTTAGGTGCAAATATTTCTACAGACTCAAAGCTACTGTAAATATATAATTTTTGCAGTGAGGTTCTTATGGGCAGACTTAATTCCATAATATTGCTAAAGGAAAATCTAATTTATTAGAAAATCAAGTGGATGACTGATGTCATCATTAAAAGGAAAATGGTAGAGCTTTGCGCCTGAAATTTTCAACTCTTGCACAAATGACCAAAAATTTAATCATGGAAAAGAGAAACCTGTGTAACCACAGTATACGTGGACTTAATCGCTGTGCTTAGGCCCAGAATTCCAGGGTCAGCTTGAAGTTTGAAATTTCAATTTTGCCAGTAATGGTATTTGTGTTATTTCTAATATTATTCAGTAAACTATGGATACTTCCTGAAGTGATCTCTTTTCCTTTTTACTGACACACATCCTGGTAAAACTTCGGTTTAGGTTTTTATAATGAGTATCCTACTTCTTATGTTATTTCCTCCAATTTCAGTATGTTGAATATGTAGTATTGCCTTTATGTGCTCCAACTATTTGTAATATTTTGGAAGAGGGGATTAAGGTAGGCTGTGACATTACACATGTCTTTCAGAAAATAAAGAACAAAAGTAAGAAAAAACCCAACATGAGATATGTCTGCTAACAAAGAATTTATGAATTGAAATAGGGATCTAAATAAGGAAGTGTAAAAATGTTATGTTTAGCATTGGCATTATTCTTTGTACTTCATATTTGGAAATATTTTTAATATCTATATTGTGATCTTAAATGGACCATACTTTCTTAATTACTTCAAATTAAAAAAAAA